ATTTGCAGATGACACCAAGTTGGGAGGGAGTGTCGACCTGCCGGAAGGCAGGAGGGCTCTACAGAGGGATCTGGATAGACTGGAGAGATGGGCTGACTCCAATGGCATGAAGTTCAACAAGGCCAAGTGCCGGGTCCTGCACTTTGGCCACAACAACCCCCTGCAGCGCTACAGGCTGGGCACAGAGTGGCTGGAGAGCAGCCAGGCAGAAAGGGACCTGGGGGTGCTGATCGACAGGAGGCTAAACATGAGCCAGCAGTGTGCCCAGGTGGTCAAGAAGGCCAATGGCATCCTGGCCTGCATCAAGAACAGTGTGGCCAGCAGGAGCAGGGAAGTGATCCTTCCCCTGTACTCTGCATTGGTGAGGCCACACCTTGAGTATTGTGTTCAGCTCTGGGCCCCTCAGTTCAGGAAGGATATTGAAGTGCTGGAGCGGGTCCAGAGAAGAGCAACCAGGCTGGTAAAGGGACTTGAGCACAAATCCTATGAGGAGAGGCTGAGGGAGCTGGGGTTGTTTAGTCTGGAGAAGAGAAGGCTTAGAGGTGACCTCATCACTCTCTTCAACTACCTGAAGGGAGGTTATAGCCAGGTGGGGGTTGGTCTCTTCTCCCAGGCAACCAACAATAGGACAAGGGGACATGGGCTCAAACTCTGCCAGGGGAGGTTTAGGTTAGATGTTAAGAAGAAATTCTTTACAGAGAGGGTAATCAGGCCTACCTAGAGAGGTGGTAGATTCACCATCCCTGGAGGTTTTTAAAAAGAGATTGGATGTGGCCCTTAGTGCCATGATATAGTAAATGGAGTTGGATCAGGGGTTGGACTTGATGATCTTAGAGGTCTTTTCCAACCCAATCTATTCTATGATTCTAAGAGCAAGAGAACCCAAAAAGGAGGTTTGCAACTGGTTAAATGCAGCCCCACCAGTTACACTTCAGAATAATCACAGAATCGTTAAGGTTGCAATAATTAAACATAATCCCTGAGGTTGGAAAAGACCTCCAAGACCACTGAGTCCAACCTGTGTCACATCCCCACTTTGTCGCCCAGACCAGAGCACTGACTGCCATGTCTAGTTGTTCCCTTGGACACCTCCAGGGATGGGGATTCCACCACCTCCCTGGGCAGCCCCTGTCAGTGCCTGATAACCCTTTCCATGAGGAAATATCTCCTGACGTCCAACCTGAACCTCCCCTGGCAAAATGAAACTACTGAAGGAAGGAATGAAGAAAAAAGGAACTTCAGCCTTAATGTGAGGCTCCTAGAGTGCCCCACGGTCACACCCTGGGGAAGTGAGGAAATACAGCTGTTCCTCTGCTCCCTCCACACAGAAGGCAGAGACAGAGCTTCAGATCCAGACACAGCGACCAAAGCCTTGGGCTGGCTCAGGGGAAAGAGACCCCAGGGCTGAACCATCAGGACACCTGAGCACCAGGAACTGGTGGTGATGCTCAACTCGTGTTTCATGGCACATACCCCCAAAGCAGGACACTGCCTGGATCCATGTCCAGCAGCAAAGAGCTCGGATCTCATCAGATCCAATCCCACACGTCAGGCTGTGCTTGGGCACGCTCTGTGTGGCAGCAGCTGGCACTGGTTCAGCCAAAGGAGGTCCTGTTCTCCATCCAGGTCGCCTGGCCTGCACTTGCTGTGCTAACACAGGCATTGACACCATCCGCCAGTGAACTGACCACACAACTGAGCCAGCTGGAAAATAATCCTGGAAACCCAGAGTTGTTCTTGCAGCAGAGCAGCCAGGACAAGGCCGGCCCGGCACGAAGAGCTGCAGGAGCAGGAACAAGCAGTTCCCTCCCTCTGAGTGCCATATCACGCCAGCTTAGAGGATCTGCTAATACATAGCTCCAGGCAAATCCCACTGCTGGCTCCCAGAGGGAACCCTCACCCTTCCTGGGAGCCTGGGGATCACACTCATCACACCCATGGCTGGGACTGCATGGATCACAGGACTGCTGCTAATGCCAGATGGATGCTGACTTTTATCCAAAACACCAACTATTGCTGGAAAAAACAGAGTCAGATGCTCTGAGCGCATCATTCCCTGCCCAAGTTAATGGAAAACCCTCATTTCTTTCCCTGTGGGAGCTGCCTGTCAAGCCTAGCTGGACACAAGTACAGAGCAGCAGATTTACACACCAACCAAAGAGGAAAAGCAAGGAGCACGTGCCTACCTTCCTCTCCTCTCGTTCCTCATCCTCAAAGATGAAGCACTGAGACTTCTGTGGAAAAAAACAAATCAGAGCAAGGAATAGGTTAAAACTCCACAGAACCAGGGCAGAGTCATTCTGCTGGAAAGCAGCGGGTCCAAAACTTGCTGCAACAGCAAACACACCTTCTCGCAACAGTCCCTCCCACGATGGGCACCATCCCCGGATCCATGGCTTGGGCAGAGTGCCACGGGTCAGCTGATGGGTGGATTTAAACTAAATACTGCAGCAGCACAGTGGATACTCATCTCAATCCCAATATCCCCTATGAGCCGGTAATTCCTCAGCTCAGTGACACCACCAAGCTGATGCTGCACATATCTCCCCTTGATATTTATTTGCTCCTTTTGCTGCACATATCTCCCCTTGATATTTATTTGCTCCTTTTCCTGACCAAAAGAAGTGCTGTCTCCTTGGTACGTGGGACTAGATCTTCATGGTTATCCAGGTCAAGTTCTCTAAACACAAGGGACCTGATCTCCACAGCCCCACTCCGTCCCCTTCCTAACAAACATTCCTGCTCTCAATTAATGGGAAACATTTCTGTTTCTCTCTCTCTTTTGGTTGCTCTTCACTGATAGTCTCCCTCCTGGCTACACCTGCTCCCACGGAACCTGAGAGCACAGGAGACCACAGGTTCCTGGGGAGAAGTAGCACTTCCCAGAGAATGAGGCAATTCTTGTTTACACCAAGAGAACCTTTGGTCCAAGCATGGAGAACAAAACTGTTTAAAATCCATAAAACACTGGTGATGTGCATGCAGTCACCAGGAGCCCAGGGATGGCTTTGGTTTGTCGAGCCTGGAAGCAGTGATGGACACAGTGATGCCCCAGGAAGAGCAGCCCCAGGAGTGGGGGCAGGACAGGTGTATTCCCATCATGCTGTGTGAGCTCCACGAGCTGATCCATCCACAGGCTGCTGGACCATGTTTCCACTCCCAGCACCGCTGCGCTCCGCAGACAGCCACGCTCGTTCTTCCCCCAGCACATCCTCTCTGCAGGCTCTAATCCCATTTAGGGGTAATTTGACCATACCTGGGGTTTTGCTTTAGCTGCAGTTTATCCCCGGCAACCAAAAACTGCATGTGTGACAGTGAATTAAAATAAATCCCTGGGAAAGGCTACAGAACCATCAGTCTTGCAGCAAAAGCGATGCCAGGCCATGCCGGCTTTATCTGCAGTTTCATAATCCTCTTTGGCTGCTCCATTTTCTTCAGACGGGCCAGCAAACCCTCTGGCTCGAGTTCCATATGCCTGATACACCGGGAAGAACCCAGCTGGGGGGATCCATGGGAAATGCTGTGGTTTGGGGCCTTGAGTTGGTCACACAGATGCTGTTTGCACCCTGATGACTCTGGTGTGGCACCCACTGCGGGTACTACTAATCCTCAGCGTTGTCCTTAGCAGGGATCTGCTCCTTCTCGGCCAAGATCTCCCCATTCCAAATGCGGCTGCTACGAATAGTTCCACACTCCCTCTCTCACACACGCTCCTGCAAAACATTCCTCAGGTTTTCCCTGCTGGCTTCCCACCTACTCTAGCCTGGTGCAGAGTGAGTCACAGCGATCCGCAGGGCCAGCCCCTCCCGGGGGAACCCTCCAAAGGAAATTTCCCTGACAACCAGAGTCTGTTTCAAGTGGGATTTCACAGAATCACAGTCTCCTCAGTTGGAAGGGACACACAAGGATCACTCAGTCCCACTCCTCGCCCTGCTCAGCCCCAGCAATCCCACCATGAACTTTGTCAGCCTTGGGGCCATGACCACTGCCTTGGGGAGCCTGCTGAGTGCCCAACCACCCTCTGGGGAAAGAACCTTTTCCTGATTATCTGTCCTAAACCTCCCCTGACACAGCTCCAGCCGTTACTCAGGTCCTGTCACTGGTCACAGCAAGCAGAGATCGGTGGTGCCCCTTGGAAGGAAGCTGTAAACAGCCAAGGTCTACCCTCAGTCTCCTCTTTTCCGGGAAAACATTCCTCCACGGATAATCTTTTCCCACTTTAAGGCTAGAAACACTCCCAGCTCTGCTTCCAAATCATTGGGGTTTGATATTCAGAACCATGCAGTCTCCTCTAATCATCTTTGACTTGCAAATCCTGACATCGTTTCACCTGCAGCTCCTCCCTGGCCCGTTTCATCACCCCCAAACCTGCCTCAACATAAAGGCTCCTCCTACTCGGTCCTTACACTGACTCTTATTTCCCTGCCAGGCTTTACTTGGCATCTCGATAATAATTTTTTTAAGAGTCCCTGACAGCAGGGAGGGGTCAATGCTCACTCACCTCCTGGTTGTAGACCTGGAGCACCTTGAGAACTGTGTCCTGCTCCCCGCTTTCCAGCGTGGTGACCACAGCCCTGAGCTCCATTATCCCAGCAGCTCAGCTACGACAGAACCAGGAGCAAGGGGAGCGAGGGGACTTCCAGGGTGATGCAAAAGCACCTTGGCAGACAGACAGCTGAGAGGGAAGAGAGAAAGGGGTGGGGAGAGGAAAAAACACAACACAAAAAAAACCCCCAGAGTGATATTGCTCACACTGCTGCATCCATAAGGAGATGGATAACCCGAGCAAAGCCAGCACCAGCTTCCCCTCTCTCTCGTTAATCCTCTTCTTCCTCGCTCTGCTTTTCAATGTTTAATACGTGCCCTCCCAGGAAAGCGCTCAGGGAAAACCTTCCCCCCCACCAGCCGGGGATTAACGCGGAGCAGAAAACAGCAGCTCCCTGAAATAGCTCCCTGCCTCCTCCTCCTCCGTTGCCCTGATTCCTGCTGCCGCACAGGAGGGAAAATAACAAATAAACTCAGCAACATCCCCGTGGAGTGAGAACGGATGGAACAGCGAGGCAGCCGGGCAGGAGAGCATCCTCCGGTTCCAGGCGGAGGTACCTTTCCAGGAGGTGGGAAGCAGATGAGAAGGGTTCCGTGGAGGGTCGGATTATGGCCGATCCCTGCACGCACAGCCCAAACGCGCGTCCAGAGCCGCCGTCCCCCGAGAGATGATGTCCCTGCCGCCAGTGCCAGGGAGCAGATGCGCAGGGACACGGGAGACGGGATTATTTCAGTCACGGCACCGGTTTAACAGCTCAGGGAGCCAAGCCAGCCCACGGTGCTGGGACACGACTCCCGATGGGGGGAAATCCAGCAGATTTGGGTGCATAGGTGGGCTTGGATACCCGTTCAGGCTCCGTGTTGCCATGGGCCGTGTTCTGCGATGAGGCCGCGCTGGTCACACCGAATTCAACCACCCGGGAGCCCCCGAGCTTTGAGGATCACACGGGGTATCCCCGCCTGCCCGTGCTCCCAAAGAGGGCCGTTTTGGGGGGACCAAGGGCAAATCCCGCATTGTGGAAGGCGGAAAGCCGCTGGGACAGGTGGCTGGGCTGGCCCAGGGCAGGGACACAGCATCCCCGTGCCAAGGGGCTGGGATGGAGGGGAGCCGCTCCGCTTTCGGGGGGATGGCATGAGCCAGTGGACCACTGCACATATCCCCCTGTTCCACACTTCGGCTGGCTCCTCCCACCGCCACCTCCTTCCCCCGACATCTGGGCACATTCCAATCCACCTTTTTTTTTGTCCACAAACCCCTATTTTTGTCGTAAGCCTCTATATCTGTCCCCTATATCTGTCCCAAGCCCCTATTTTCTCCCCCACATCCCCGTTTCGCCCCCGTGCCCGGACAGGCTTCGGCCGTACCTGCGGCCCAGGATCCCTCGGGGGGCAGCGCCGACCCCTCCACCCCGGCCCGGGCGAGCGGCCCGAGGGTCCCGGTGCCGGGGGGAAGGAGGAGGAGGAGAAGGAAGGACCGGCGGACATTTCGCGGCGGCTCCGCCCGGCGGGGCGGGCCGGGCCGGAGCGGCCATGGCGGAGCGGGGCCGAGGTGAGGGGACAGGGACAGGTTTGGGGGACAGGAGGGGGCTGGAGGGGGCCGGGGGAAGGCGAGCGCCCGGCTGCACAACTGCCCCCCGACCCCGCTGCACCCCACGGGACTTCCCGCAGTCCCCCGATTTATCCCCCTCGAACGCCTAATAGACCTCCCTTGAGCCCCTGAATGCCCCCCATGAGCCCCTAAATGCCGTCCCTTGAACCCCTAAATACACCCCCGAACACGTAATTGCCCCACACACCCCTAACTGACCCCTCGAATCCCTAACTGGCCCCCCTCCTCGAACCCCTAATTTCCCCCCTTGAATCCCTAACTACCCTCCCCTTGAACCCCTAATTGCCCCCCTCTCCGCATCCCTGACTGCTCCTCCGGGGCCCTTCTGGGATCCTCAGCTGCCCCCCGAACCCCTAACTGCCCCCTTGGACCCCTAGTTCCCATCCCGACCCCCAGCTGCCCCCCAACAGGCAGCAATGCCAGGAGACCCCAACATGGATGAGAGGTTAAGAGCCCTGGATTTGCCCTGCTTCACCCAGATCTCATCCCTGGATATCGCTGGGCACAAAGCCCTCCAAGCTGCTGCTGCTGGGCCATGGTGGCAATTCAGGGGGCGAGTCAGGAATCCTGCCCCAGTCCGTTTGGGAAAAGTTTGGGACGGTTTTGTCCAAACCAACTTGGGAAGGTTCCAGAAGTGTGAGGAGGGGGTCTGACAAGCAGAGATTGCTCGGGCAGCTACACACCTGTGCTGTGCCAGGGCAGGTACAACGTGTCCTCCTCCTCCTTATCTCCCAGGGCAGAGTACAAGCGCCATGGACGACCTGCTGGATGTGGAGAACAAGCGGATGGCCGACAGCCTGGCCAGCAAGGTCACCAGGCTGAAATCCGTGAGTGCCGAGGGTGTGGGGAAGGAGGGGCTCTGCTTACCTGGGGGTGCTGCAGGGAATGGTTCGGGCGGGAAAGAGCCTTAAAGCCCATTCAGTCCTATGCCCTGCTGTGGGCAGGAACACCTTCCACTAGCCCAGGTTGCTCCAACTTGGATTTGAACACTTCCAGGGATGGGCCAGCCACAGCTTCTCTGGGCAACCCGTGCCAGTGCCCCAGCACCTTCACCTGTGCTCTGCAGAGGCTTCTTGTGCATTAAAAACTCTCAGCTGGTGATAGAGTGGTCTAATTTTCACTTGTGTTGTGCCAAGGACACCTTTACAAATTCCCGCTTTCCCTTCGAGGTTTACAACATCTCTGACAGGAATGGTGTGCTTGTGCCATTCAGGAAAGAGTTTTAGGCACAGAGAGAAACAGCAAAAAACATAAACATAAAACATAAAAAACATAAATACCTCTGCACAGAGGGGGTGTTGCCAAGCTCACCTCCTCGGGAAAATATTTGCAATAAAAAGGCAGGTAGATTAATTTTGGAAAATACCTGTGTCTCTATGCAAGTCATCTTAAAACTGGTTTGCTCTTAATATCAAATACTTCAATTTAGAGATTTAAGCTCTATTTTTTATTATTATAATTATTCTAACAATTATTGTCATATTATTATAAAATTGTTGTAATGATTATAACGTTATTATAAATTACTATTTAAAAAATAGTAGAAACCAAAAAAGAAGTCAGTGACTCACCACCTCGAAGGGCAGACTCTGAATTCCTGCCTTTGTGTCCTGGGGTTTACTTTCAGCGCTGCAGAACTGGAAAAGTTCAACAACCCTCCAGGGAAATGGGAATCATTTTCCTTGTTCCTGTCCCAGACAAGCCCCTGTGTGTCTGCAGGAGCCAGGAAAGCAGCAGGTTGCTCTGCTAACTCTCATTTTAGAGGTTCTCTGTACACGACAAGCTCTGAATTCCTGTTCCCTCCCTTGTCCTGCAGCTGGCTCTGGATATCGACAAGGACACTGAGGAACAGAACCGCTACCTGGATGGCATGGTAAGGACCCGGCAGGTATCTGGCACCTGAAGGGCTGATATGGGACAGCACACCTGGGAAATGCTAATTGGAGGTCCCTCCTTGCTGGGATTAAAGCTGCCTCCGGGCTGTTCCTCAGCTCTCCCTTGGTGTATGAACCAAGGACTTATTCCAGAACTGCAACACCTCAGGCAGGCTCCTTGTGGGGCCTTGTGGGACACTGGTGTCTTCAGAGGGAGCACAGGTGATGCTCTGGGTCCCACAGGCTGTTGAGTGCCCTGGTCTGCCACACAGCTCCCAACAGATCAGGGAGTTGGGATAAAAGGTGGGATGGCAAAAGCCCTTAAGGGAGAAGCCTTAAATCAGCACCAAACCACGCTGCTCTTACAGAGTTTGTGGCATTTCAGGAGCAACATGAGCAGAAGCTCCAGGAAGGTGCACGGTGGGAATGGTGCTAATCCCGGAGCACTGGAAGGGAAGGACCTTGAGGGAGACAGGTGGCTGCTGTGCAGCTTCTGTGCCAATGTTGTTAGCCAGGAGGTGGGAGATTCCTCAAGGATTCCTTCATCTGTGGCACAGCAGGATGAGCTTGATCCTAGGACCTGAGGGAACGGCTGGAGTTGTATTAGGTTGGGTATTAGGGTAAGCTTCCTCCCCCAGAGGGTGGCTGGGCACTGGAACAGGCTCCCCAGGGCAGTGGCTGTAGCCACAAACCTGCCAGAGCTCAGGGACGTGGTCGGGTCATTGAGGTGTCCTGTGCAGGGCTAGGAGTCAGACTGGATGACCCTTGTGGAATCCCTCCAACTCGGGGGTGTTTCACGTCTCTACGATGCCTCTACCTTGGTTGTCTGTGCCCTCCACAGGACTCGGATTTCCTGAGTGTGACGGGGCTGCTGACGGGCAGTGTGAAGCGCTTCTCCACCATGGCACGCTCCGGGCGGGACAACCGCCGCCTGCTCTGCGCCGTGTCCGTGGCCCTTATCCTCATCTTCTTTATCCTCTACTACCTGGTGTCCAGGGCAGGCACCTGAGCCGGGCACCTGCAGGCCTGTCGACGCCTTCCTGGGAGGAGCCTCCGGCCAGACCTCCTCCTTCCAAGTGACTCTTCCTCCCACCAGCTCCTCGTGTCGCCCCGGCTGGGCCCAGACAGCTCTTTCAGGGCAGGAACATTTGTCTCCAAAGGGATCTCCGTGCCTAACAGGATTTTGGGGCTGTGACCTCCTGCCTTGTTCGTGTGCCATAGGCTGTTCTCAGGGGCCACTTCCCTGACACCTCCTCACCGAGCCTGGGAACTGCTGAGACGGGGCTGACACATCCAGGGACTTGTTCATGCTCCGAGGGTTTATAAGCCAGCTGAACTTCAGGAGCTGTAGGGTCTAGGATGCTGATTTATGGGGTTTGGGAGTGCCAGTGTGTGACTTCACATTCCATGTGGCTGCTCTCAGTTTCTCCCGGGACTTGCAGAACTTACCCTTGGTGTCCCTGGGCTGAAAGGAAACCTGTGCTGCTCTGGGATGGAATTAGCGATGGACCTGGGCATGGATACTCTCAGATCGCTGCAGGGAAGAGCTGCAAAGGAGCAGAATTTTGGATTAAATCCTGGCTTGGCCCTCTTTATCTTCCTCGGTCCAGTTAATTTTGGTGGTTGTGGCGCCCTGGTTTTGGAGCACTCCGGGAAGATGCTGTGCCAGTGAAGCAGAGGTTGAGGTGAGGTGGAATTCCCCACCAGTGGGAGTCCAGGAGGGGTTTGCTGATTTGTTTTCTGAATTTAGAAGGTACCAGAGGAACCCCTGCCTTGCCTTGGGGGGTGTCTCTGCTTATTTGCCTCTGTCTCCTTGTAACAACCAGGGCCCAGCCATTCTTCCTCCTGATTTAGTCTCTCTTCTGCCTCATCGTGGATGGCTGGGTGTTCCCTTTGCCTTCTCTCTCCTCCCATCGGGAATTCCTTTGTCCTGAAGCTAAGGCACCTGCAAAAGAAATGTTGTTCCTTGTACTCACAATCTGGTCACAAAACATACCCTGGCTGGATTAGGTGTGTTCTTTTCCACATTCGGGAAAAATCCTGCAGGGAAAGCAAGGAGAAAGGAGGCAGCAGGGACTTCTGGTCCTTCCTGCTTCCCTGGAGCGGTGTGGCAGCTCCAGACTCCTTCCCTTCGGGAAGAATAGATGGCATCTGATTCCTGGAGCAGGTGACTCTGGACAAAAGGCTGCTGGTGCAGCCTGGAGGAGTTTGCTTTTTGCCTTTCCTGCTGTAAATAAAGCTGATTTTAGACCTTCTAGTCGGAATGTTTGTTCCTCGTACAAGGTCGATCCCCTTGGCTATACCTGGGCCACCCCGAAGCTGGAGAGGGACCCTCCGGGGAGGTGGAGGGTCCCGTAGTCCTGTGACACGCCCAGTTTCACGGGGAAATGAGGGTGGGGGTGCACAGGCTCTGGATCTGTCCCCAGGCCTCCCCGGTGTCCCCAGACCTGCCCGCGGGGGACACGGGCCAGTGGGGGTGCCACTGGGGTCTCCATCCATATGTCCGTCCCCAGGGGGGTCCTTGTCCCCGGAGCGCCACAGGTCCCGGTAACGGGGCCTTTGCCGGAAGTCCCGCCGTGTCCAGACCGCGTCCCCTGTCGCCATGGCAACCGCCCGCCGCGCCGGAAGTGGCGAGGCGTAGGCCGGAAGCGGCGGCCGGGGCGGAAGCGATGGCCGCGGTGGCGGCTGGGGACGGCGCCGGGGGCAGCCCCGAGGCCCCCGCCGGCGGCACCGGGGGCGGCGGGTGGCGGCGTCCTCACGGGCCGCTCCAGCGCTACTACGGCCCGTCCGCGACAGAGGCGGCTGAGGCGGCCCCGGACCCCACCGACATCAACGGGCCCCACTTCGACCCGGAGGTGTTCATGACCAAGGTGACCTTTGACCCTCGTAAACTTTGAGCCCCCAACCCTCCCGGACTCGGGGACCCCCCCCCCCCCCGATGAACTCCCCCAGCGTCCTGAGGGCATCCCAAAAAGATCTTCTATGGGGACCCTATGGATCTGCTTCCATAGGGACCCTGTAGGACACTGTATGACTCCCTATAAAAATGGTACTGGGGTGCTCTGGAGCAGCAAGGGGGGGTCTAGGGGCAATCAGAACTACGGGGCGGGGGGGCTCCTGGGGGGCAGCTGGGGATCTCAGGAGGGCTCTGCAGGGAAGTTGAGGACCTCAGGGTGGCAATTCAGGGGCTCTCAGGGGTAAATGGGGGGATTGCAGAGGAAACAGCAGGGTGTGGGGCAGTTGTGCAGCTGTTGCCCCCCACCCCCAGGTGCGCAGTGAGTGTCCCCTGGGGCAGCTCCTGGCCCGGGAGGCTGCACTGGGGCGGGAGATCCGCGCCCTGGACAGCGACATGCAGACCCTGCTCTACGAGAACTACAACAAGTTCATTTCTGCCACTGGTAAGAGGCTCACTCTGGAGCCTGCTGAGGACAGTGCTGGGATGTTGGGGTCTGGGGGTGTTCTCTCTGGAGCCTGCTGCTGGCAGCACTGGGAAATGAGGATCAGGGGGCATTCACTCTGCTGGCAGCCACCCCCGGTACCCAGCCTACTCCAGGGGGCGACAGCTGGGGTACGTTCATCCCAGAGGGTCTGGGGGCGGGCAGGCAGCCAAGGGACCCAGCACTTGTCTCCTTCCCCCCATCCCAGACACCATCCGGAAGATGAAGGTGGATTTCCGGCACATGGAAGCGGAGATGGACGACCTGGCGGCCAACATGGCAGCCATCAGCGCCTCAAGCGCCCGCGTCAGCGCCGCGCTACAGGACCGGCACCGCCGCGGCGCCCAGCTGGCTGGTACGGGGCTGGGGGGCAGGTGGCCCCCGGGGGGTGGGCCTGGCCCTCCTGGCCCCATCTCCCCGAGCCCCATGTCTCCCCAGGGGTGCAGGCGCTGCTGCGGAAGCTGCAGGCACTGGTAGAGGTACCGGGGCGGCTGCGGCTCTGGGCGGGCACGGAGCCGGCGCGGGCCCTGCGCTGCTACAGCCGTGCCCGCGCCGTGCTCCGGCACTACCGGCACCTGCCCTCCTTCCGTGCCATCGAGGACGAGAGTCACGCCATCATGGCAGAGCTGGCCCAGCGCCTCCGCACACGCCTCCGGTACGTCCGCTTGGGAGCCTGCTGAGGCTGGGAATGGGAGTCTTGGGGTGTTCACTCTGAGCCTACTGATGGCAGCCCTGGGAAGTGGAGCCTCCTGGTGGTCTTTAGGGAGTCCCTTATTAACCTCTGTTGCTGTTGGAACTTCCTGGTGCTGTTATTTCCCCTTTTGTTTTTTGACCAACTCCTGTTCACTCTGGGGCCTAAAAATGATTTTTGTCACTTGTTACCCATTCCCACCCTTAACCCTGGAACCTCCCACACCCACCCGCCCGCCCCAGGGAGGAGACGCTGGACCCCAAGGAACTCACCGAGTGCGTGGAGATGCTGCTGCAGCTGGAGGAGCCTCCCGAGGAGCTGAGCGAGGAGTTCCTGAGCCAGGCGGGCGCACGCCTGGAGGCCGAGCTGGCTGCACTGGAGGCCGAGTTGCCCGCCTCCGACCCCTCTGGTGCTGCCGTCACACCACCGCCCACCTCCGACATCCTGGACTTCGTGGACCGCGGCAGCTCGGCCTTCGTGGGCACGCTGTGCCAGCTGGCTGGCTCATACCGCACGCTCTTCGGAGGGGACGCGGGGCGCCTGGAGCCCTTCGCCGCCGCGCTGGCCACGCGCTACTTCGGGCTGCTGGAGCGGCGGCTGGCGCTGGAGCGCGGCCTGGGCGACACCTCACTGCTGGTGCGAGCACTGGACCGGTTCCACCGCCGGCTGCGGGCGCTGCTGGAGCTGCTGCCCGAAGGCGGCGCTGCCGCCGCTGCGCTGGTGGCTCGCGCTGCCCATGAGCGCGTCGACCGCTACCTGCGTGCCCTGCAGACCTTCTTCCTGGGCTGTCTGGGCGATGTGCGCCAGGCGCTGGCGGCGCCGCGGCCCCCCGGCAAGGAGGGGCCTGGCCTGCCTGACCTGCTGGCCACACTGGCTGCTTCCGTGCTGGGCCAGCTCAAGGCCGTGCTGGCCTACGTGCAGCTCTTCACCGCCAGGGACGTCGCCTTCGCCAGCTTGCCCTACTTCAAGGTGGGGCACTGCAGGGCACGGGGCAATTTGGGGGTGGAACGTGGCAGGCTGGGGGTCACTCAGTGACCAGTTTGGAGCCTGCATGGGGCAGTTTGGGGGGCTTTGTTGGGGTGTGACCGCTCCATCTGTGGCACAGGGGGAGTTCTGTGTGGCAGCAGTACGTGAGGGGCTGGTGGTGGCCTTCGTGCGCTGGCTGTGCCGCACTGCCCGTGGCTTTGCTGATGGCCCCGCTGAGCGGGGGGCCCCCGCCGCCCCCCCAGCCCTGCTGCTGCTCCTCGCCCGCCTCTGCTTGGACTACGAGAACTCCACCATCAGCTACATCCTCACCCTCACTGACGAGCAGTTCCCACCCCAGGTGAGCCCTAGAATAGCCCTAAGGGCACCCTGAATGTCCCCAAAATGTCACAGATTGGCTCCGCACCCCTCTGTGTCCCAGCCCCAGGCACCACTGCACGGGCATCTTCCTTCTGTCTCTGTCCCCAAAAACAGCCCCGAGTAGACCCAGAATGCTCTGATTAGCCCCAGAATAGCCCCTATATGACCTCAAATGGCCCTTCTGTGGCCCTGTGTCCACCCAGGGGATGGTGGTGGGGACAGTGCCCTGTGGGGGGGTCTTGGGACTTCCCTCTGTCTTATGTATCCCCATATATTCCCAAGCGACCCCAGGACATCCCCAAGTCCCTCTCTGTGCCCTGCCATCACCTGTTTCCATCCAGGAGGTGACTGTGGGGATGGCACTGCCTGTGGAGACAGGAGGGTCCTGACCTGTGCGGTATCTCCCAAATATCTCGCTCAGGATGTCCACAGGGGGGTTCTCCGTGTCCCCGAGTGCCCTCAGTGCCCCACAAACACAAAAGGGGCAGTGATGCTGAGCAGCACATGGGGCTGGCAGCGACCCTGTGCCCGGTGCTGTGAGGGGAGGAGCAGGGACTGTTCCTACCTGTTGCTGTGCCCGCAGGACTCTGGCCCGGCGGTGACGCCGGGGCCGGCGCTGTGTGCGGAGGCACGGGCAGCAGCACAGCGGCTGCTGGACCACTACGTGCAGGTGCAGGGCGCGGCCGTGGCGCAGATGCTGCGCAAGAGTGTCGAGACGCGCGACTGGCTGGGCACCGTCGAGCCCCGCAATGTCCGTGCAGTTATGAAGCGCGTGGTGGAAGACATCACCGCCATCGATGTCCAGGTCAGCCCCTGGAGGGGGCCCTGTGGTCCCCATGAGGTCCTTGAGGGCTTTGGGAAGGTCCCTTTGGTGGGAAGTTGCCAGCAGCTTCTAGATGTCCCAAAGGGTCTGGGTAGGGGAGGCTGAGGTCCCTGAAGCATCCAGAGGGTTTGTCCAAGGTCTTGGTGTGGTCCTTGAGGACTTTGGGGATCGTCACAGAGGGTTTGAAGGATGCTAGGTGGTTTGGGGGGATCCTAGCAGGAGGTTTTGAATGCTGATGCTGTGGTGCCACACACAGGTGGGGCAGCTCTTCGAGGAGGGGGTGCGGCGGGCACAGAGCAGCGATTCCAGCCGACGTGCCTTCTCCGTCTACAGCAGCTCACGGGCACCAGGCCGCTACGCCCCGAGCTACACCCCCAGGTCAGCCCCGGCACCCCTGTGCCACCCCCTGCAGTACCCATTGCATCTTCCCTGGCACCCACTTCACAGCCCCAGACTGTCCTAATATCCACCTGACAGCCCCATGTTCCCCTCCAACTCTCCCAGTATCCCCTGGTGATCCCTGTATCCCTTGTGTCCTGGGACCATCCCCACATTCCCTTGCCTTTCTGTCCCCAAACCATCCCTACATTCTCTCACTATCTCTGTGTCCCCTCTGGTCCCTGTTCCCACATCCCAGGCTCTCTTAAGTCCCTGACTGTCTCTGTCTCACTGTCCCTAGTGCCCCCATGGATACCCACCTCCTCAGCAACATCCAGAAGCTTTTCTCAGAGCGCATTGACATTTTCAGCCCTGTCGAGTTCAACAAGGTGAGGCCACCCACATCCTTAAACAGGGGCCCTAAACTGTCCACCTTCCTGCTGTCACATGTCCCTGGTGTCCCCATGACAGAGGTGTTGGGGCCAGGGGGACACCCAGGAGCTGATGACCAGGCCAAGGGTGTTCATGTGCCACATGTCCCCAGGCTCAGGAGTTCCCGGGGAATGTCAGGCAGGCCAAGGGTCCCCACGCACCCCTGTGGATGCCACTCCATTGCCCGCTGTGCCCACACAGGTGTCGGTGCTGACGGGGATCATCAAGATCAGCCTGAAGACACTGCTGGAGTGCGTGCGGCTGCGCACCCTGGGGCGCTTCGGGCTGCAGCAGGTGCAGGTGGACGGGCACTACCTGCAGCTCTACCTGTGGCGCTTCGCCTCCGACGAGCGCGTGGTGCAGGGGCTGCTGGATGAGGTGGCTGCCAGCGCTGCCCACCGCTGCCTGGACCCCGTGCCCATGGAGCACAGCGTCGTGGAGCTCATCTGCGAGCGTGGGTAGCATGCGGGGACGAGGGACGGGGACCTGCCATACCTGTGTCACCGTGAGGGATGCATCCTGCATCTTGCTACATCTCTGGGGACAGACCTGTATCCTGGGAATCCCCACATGTGCTATCTCCTTCCCAGTGTAGCAGCACACAAGGACATCTCATGCCCCTGCACATGGCAACATGAAGAGATAATCCCTATCCCCACACCAGGTCACCCTGTGTCATCAAACCACACTCCTATTGCCTCCCCACCCTAGTGACACCTTCAGTGGGTGCTGACACCCACAGCCCCTGTGACACAGTGTCATCCCCTCACCTTAGTGACATCCCCTTGTGCCCTTTATCACTAAATAAATGATGTGTGAGCTGAGTGTTGTGTCCTTGTTTGTGCCTGGGGGATGGGATCTGACCATGCACGTGGGGGTCCCACCTCTAGCCAGGGTGACAGCTCAGGAGCAGGGCCTGGACACTGATGACCCACAGCCATGAGGGCCCCAAACCTTAAAACTCAGGGACCAAAACCCTCTGTGGTTGCTACAAAGTGCTGGGGAACACCCAGGGACATGGATTTTCCACCAGAGTTGGGAAGGTCTTCCCTAAGAGGACATTTCCTGCCTCAAGGAACCAGCACAAAGAGCAACCCAAAGGGACAGACCTCAAACCCTCCATTTCTCAAAAAAAGCTGCAAGGAGCCCAGAGCTGGAAATTGAAGCCACTTTATCCAACAGCATTTGGCCAGGTCAGCAGCTTTTGGACAAGAAATTGTGGTCGCGCAGATACAGACCTGGATCCACAGAGCAGCCATGGAAGCACAAACACCTCATGGATACAGACTATGATAGCCAGACCTGGATTTACAGGGCAGCCCCCGAAGCACAGACACCCCAGACACAGACACCAACATATTTACATATAAAACCCCCCCATCGTTTTGAGCACATTCGCTGCCAAACAGAGCACTGGATACAGACACACAGATGGGCACGTGGACAGGGTGAGGGCCCCTCACACAGGGCACAGTCCTGATGCGGGTTTTACAGGGAATGGGAATGCTGAGCTGGAATTTTCGTTTGGGTTGGCCAGAGTCCATTTGACAGGGACTGACTGAACAGGAAGTGCTAAACAGGCCAAGGGACACAACCAGCTGATGCTGAACCACAGCCAAGGGATTAGGGTTAAACACATCCCCTCAATCCCATCTGGCCACAGAGGTGGAATTTCAGTGAGAAACAAAACTCTGCCAGAACCTTTGCACAGTTTCTCCTAAAGAGGCCCAGAGAACTTGGGGGTCCTTGGGGACACGGTCACACCTGCAGTCATGTCTCTCCACAGCTGATGGAAGGTGAGATCCTCAGTGTGTTCCAGCTCAAGCTGTGCCAATGTCAGCCTCGCCCTGGCTGATGGACACAACCACACAGGTGGGAAAGGGAGCGACGAATCCTTTTGGAATTGCAGGAGATGAAGAGCAACACCTGGGAACACCTTCCCGAGAAGAGCAGTGGAGCAGGCCGGATGTGCCCAGGTGTGTGCAATGGTCCCTGACTGTCACTGGCCTCGAGGCCAGTACAGAAGTACAACTGCTGGTAGGTATTGCCAGGCCTGCTCGGCAGAGACGGGGGATCCCACATCTTCAGGTGATGTCCATCACCCACTAAAGGTCCAAGTCCGTGCCAGCTCTAAGCTGAGGGTAAGAGAGGCAATTCCCTGGGCAGCACTTTGTGGCTTGGCCTGACAGAAACCAGCCACGCCAACCGAGGAGCAGGAACCCGAGAAGAGTTGCCATTTATTACACACTAAAACCTAAATATTTCAAGTGAAGAGTGACTCCTTCCTCACCTGAAGACAGGAAATCATACCTGCTGCACACCTGCACTCACCTCAGGGTTTCTTGAGGCCACAGGGCAGCCCAAGGCCCGGCTTGGCCCCCACGGTGGGCGGTGAGTGCCACACGGCCGAGCTGGTGCGCTTGAAGTAGCGGGGCTTGCTCTTGTAGAAGATGTCCTCCAGCTTGGGGCTGGCGATGGCCCCAAACAGCGCATCCACATCAGGGGGGTTGTAGTACTGTCGGATCACAGCCTGGCTGAGCTGATTCCCTGCGGGAACAGATGGGGTTCGTGTTAACGTTGTTAATTGGGATTGCCATGTGGGCTGCTGCCTGCGGTCTGTCCCCTCTTTGCTTGTCTCTCACCACTCCAAGGCATCCTTACTAGAGTATTTGTCACTCAACAAGTTGTGACAAGATCCCCAAGAGCTGGAGAAGCCCCTGACTCTGCATTCCACATAGAATCATGGGACAGCTGGGGTTGGAACAGACTTTAAAGCTCATCCAGTTCCAATCCATCGCTGTGGGCAGGGACACCTTCCGCTAAACCTGGTTGCACCGAGCCCCACCCAACGTGGCCTTGGAGACGGAAGTACTCACTTCATGGTGGGGTAGTTGTAACTAACCCAGGTAGGAGGGGCTGAGCAAAACCCAACACCAGGTTCCACAGCCTGCTGAGGCAGATCTGCCACAGGGGTGCTGGGGCTTCCAGACAGACATCCCCCCACACGTACCTGTGGCCCAGGCAGGGACAGGCTTGCGCGGCTCGCTCTCATCATCCGTTGAGTCGTCGCTGTTCAGATCCATCCCATAATCGTTTGAGCTTGTGATGGGGGGCTTGGGTTCTTTCCTGCTCTGTGGAGTCATCTGGTATGAATTGCAGACAGGGGAATTCTGGAAAGCAAACACATTCCACAGGTATTGGATGTAGCAGCACTGCTATGCTCTGAGATACACTGGGACTGGCTGGTCCCCAACCTCCTGCTCTGTCACCTCATGGCAAAGCCTGAGCCTGGCAGCTCTTCAGTTTGCACCTAAGAGCTTGACCCAAGTAATGACCCAATTATAGCTGTGCATGGCTTTCTCCTATTTAATTATGCTGATTAATTGACAAAAGCATGCAGCAATAGATGGATCTAACAGACTTAATAGAGCAGCAGCTCCACTCAGGTCAAGCAAAAGTTAAATGGAAGTCTTATGTCACTGGAGCAGTCATGTGCACTGAACACTCTGCAACCTGTCTTCTGGGCTTGATTAATGGATATAAAACTGATAACTGATGTGCAGAGATCGTGACCACCAGGTCAGCCAAAACGAGCTCACACTGATGGGAGCAGCAGTGCCGGGAAGTGCAAGGAGGTGGGGGGGGGAGAAAACCTACAGCTGCTAATTTCAGTTATTTTCAACTGAAAATTGTCAGTTGAAATTCAGTTTTCAACCTTGAAACTCTGGGCAGAGTTGGACACAGTTGTTCTTCTCCACCAGAGAAGACTGGCTTTGTGTCCAGTGACATTAACTCCCACCCCCTGGTTCTGCACTTTAAGATACAAAGCTTTGCAAGCAGACGGAGACCCACGTTGAGTGTTGAGGGAGAGAAAGTGCACGGCATGTTTCTCCCATGCCAAACCCACACGGTTACACAGGCTCTGCTGCCACCTTGTGGCGGTTCCCAAAATGGACCCTAAATAAAACTCAGCATCTTTTCTGCTCCTGCGGTCCTTCCAGTATTTAAGAGGAGTCCAGACGGCTCCACTAGCTGCTGCCTTACCCACAGCTAGAAACCCTGGCCAATCCCTCCTGCTTCTCTTCCCTCTGTCATTGAAATATTCACAGAGTCAACCCCAGATAACCAGGATTTACAGAATTCCTGTGTTATTGGAAAGGCAGATAAAAACAGAGGGTGGAATTGCCCAAGGCAGGAGCAGGTGCTGGGACTGAAGTCCTCTGCTGTCAACACTAAGGACACATCCCCAGAAATTACCTCCTTATTCTCCAGGAGTGGCGCTCGGGCATTGTCTTTGCCCTTTTGTTCCTCTGACAGTTTCTTCTGCTCTTCCTCCTGCCTCTTCCTCTCTGCCAGCATCTGCTGCTCCCGCTGCCAAGTCACACCCACGGAATTACCCTTAGGGATTACACTGCCAACCCAGGCACCCACCTTTGTGACAGGCAAAATAACTAAGAACCCAATTGCAGCTCCATTCCTCATGCAGCTGAGGAGCACTTGGGACATAGTGCAGTTCCCTCAGAGAGGTACAAACCCATAGACACCCATGTCAGAGCATCAGCTGCCTTCCCCTGACAAAGCCAGGGCCCCCACCTTGGAAAACTTATTGCTGGTTTCAGGCTGTAAAAGCCAGAAAACAGCTGACAATCTGCAGGAGAAGTCTGTGCTACTGATCTTGGCCTCTTTCTAGACTATTAAACAATATTTTTAGAGGCCAAGTCCCCCCACTGCACCGTAACTATCCCAAACAGGTCAAACTTCCAGCTCAGAAGTGCCACAAGTGGCTCCTCAGGGCTCCCCCCAGAGTCCCAGCTGAGCAGGTCTGCTGAGGTCAGCCACATGGCTCTCCCCCTCCCCAAAACCGAGCACTTACCTCTTTCTTCTCCATCTCCTTGCGGAGCCGCTCCTTAGCTGCCTGCACTTCCTTCTGCTGGCGGGCGGCCCTCTCCTGCTGTTCCCGGAGCCTGAGAACCACAGCACAGGCCCTCAACTCCCAGAACAACACCAGGGACCCTCCTGGCTGACTGAAGCAACCCCCCCACCCTCACAGCTATTCAGACACCCTCCACCATACTCCCAGCTGTTCAGACACCCTCCACCACACTCCTGATATCCCTGAGCCTGGAATTCCTCCTTGGCAGCTCAGCAACAATGACGGTCCAGAGTTGTGCTGTCACCTCAGAGCGGCTCCTCACTGCTCCAGCCTTCCACTCCTGCCCTCTGTTCCAGCTGCGTTTCAATCCCAGCACAGAATTTGGTATATAAATAGGTAATTTTGCCTTACTTTTCTGCCTGGATCCGCTCCTGCTCCCTCTTCCTCTCCAGCTCTCTCTCTGCAGCCAGCTGTCTCTCCCGCTCCTGCTCTGCCTGCCTCTGCTCAGCGATCTTCCGGGCACGCTCCTGCTCCTCTTCCTTCCTCTTCTGCATCAGCTCCCTGTGCCGTCGTTCCTCCTCCTCCTCCTATCAGCCCAGGCAGGCAGTTACTCACCTGACAGTAGCAGGCTCTGGGAGAGAGCACCAGGAACCCCTCATTTGGCCCAAATCCCCATCACTACACAGCAGGGAAACATCTCGGGGGTAAATTCCCAGTGCTCAAGGCAGGTGGGTCCCCCTCTCCAGTTCTGCCTGTGGGACAAGACAGGCCCCACACACCTGCTGCAGAGCTTTTTGTCTCCTGGCCTCCTCCTCTTGCCTGCGCCGGGCCTCCGCCTCCTCCATCTTCCTGGCAGCCACTCTCTTCTTGATCTTCTCCTCTGCCAGCCTTTCTTCCTTCACCTGGAGCACACACAGACACAGATCTCAGGTGGGACAGCGCTGCAGGACATCTCACACACTCCCACCCTCTCATGGGCAAACCCTCCCTCCTCTGCACCCAGGAGCCAAAGGGGCCTGTGCTCTGTTTTTAAAAGGTCACATTTAGGGCAACAACCTTGTTCTACATCCCCCGGGGAAGAGTTGACCCCACACTAGTATTTACACTTCCAGTCCCACAAAGCCACTGGAATGTATCCTCAGAGCAGTGCAATCAGAGAGGCAGCTGGGGGTAATTAAAGCAGACAAATGACCACTATGTCCAGTGCACAAATTGCCTGGAAGTCTGGGATGGGAGGAAGGCTCCGGAGGAAGGATGTTTGCTTTCCCCCCTACAGCTATTACTCACTTGGGAGTAGCAGCAGACAAAGCCTCAGGGCCATTAGGCCGTCTTTATCCACTGCAAGTCCTTCCTTCTCCCATCTACCAGAGCACTAACAAAGCCCATTTAGATTCATCATTCTGGAAAAACAGGGGTTCAGCTGCCTTTTGCTGTAGCTAGAGAAAGGCAGTCCCTCAGGATCACCAAGGCTCTGGACAGTTCTTTATCCAACTGTTCTCTCATTCAACCTGTATAATCCAAGCAGCCTCCATCTCCATTTTTGGAAAAGCACACCTGTGTGGCACCAGCTGCCCCGAGGAGCTCTGTGTGAGCCGTACCTTCTCAGTCTTCTCGTCGAACAGTGCTATCTTCTGCTCGATCTTCCTCTTCCTCGCCTTCTCCATCTCCTCCACCCGCTCCCGGGCCTGCAGCACCTTGCGCAGCCGCTCCTCGCGCTTCCTGAGGACACAGCCCAGCTCACCGTGCTGCTGAGCTCCTTGCAGCTCAGCACAAGGCCAAAGCACACAGCAGGAAACTCAACAGCCCAAACTCCACAGTGATTTAAGCACCAGCCATGTTTAAGCTCCGTCAGAGAGGGAGGACTCAAGAAAAGAAGCCGCAGCAGCTGGCAAGGGCAAGTCATGTTTTGTATCAGCATTCTAGAGAATTCTGAGGACACTGCTCATGCCCAAGGGAATTACTGCTGCTTGCATGGGCTCTGCAAGGTAAAACACCTGGACACAGGTACCTACAGCAGCATGACCACATCTACTCACAGCTTTGCCTCCTCGAGTCGCCGTTTCTTCTCCTCCTCCAGTCTTTGCCTTCTCAGCTGCTCAGCTTCTTGCTTCTTCCGCAGAGTCTCCAGCTTCTGCCTCTCCTTTTCCTGAGGGGAATTGAAATGTGATTATACCCACCTGCCAAGGAGCTCCTTTGCACTTCACTCACTCAGGGGAAGGGCACAGAGGTGACAGCAGGGAGCTGCAGGCAGGGTGGTGACAGCCCTGGAGCAGAGCTCAGGCGGTGATCCGGTCATGAATGGATATACACAAGGAAAACAAGGCAGCGGCGAGAATGCTGGGGAACAAGAGGAGAAGCTGGGACACTGAGACAGAAGCATCATCTCTGGAAGCCCAGGCAGCATCTCCAGGGATTGCAGGCAGCCAGCCCCGTGCTTTCTCTTGGTGCAAAGGACCCACAAAGCAGTGCCAATGTCTGGCACTGATCCCGCTTCCTGCGGCGAGCACAGGGACAGATGGTGCTCCAGGAAACACCTCAGGCTCCTGTTGGCGCCTTTGCCTCCCACAAAGCTCTATCTGGTGGTGAACCACCACCACTCTGAGAGCTCCCATCTTGCTCCAAAGCACAGCCAGCCAGAAATGGGAGCCAACCAGAAATGAGAGCTTTTCTCCTCATTTTCCTGACCCCGCCTAGACGCACTGTCAGCCAGGGTGGGGGGATCCAGCCACCATTACAGCCACAGCAAATGGATTAACATCAATTCACTCCGTGCCAAAGCAGGCCTGGTCTCAGCACCAAACTACGGATCAGCACTGGGAATATCCAAGGGATTCCCTTACGCTGGGTTCTGTATTGTAAAAGCTTGGTGCTGTCAGCATCCAAACTGGTTAATATAAAACCAACAATCACGTCTTATTGCTCTGCTGCTATTTAGTTATGTTTAGCTCCCACACGGAAAAAGTCCCAAGGGGAAGCTGCCTGCGCTGGAATGAAACCTAAAATATAACATTCCATGAACTGACAGCAGCAGAGGAAGCACTCCCTAGCCACAAGACTCTTTTCTCATCGTATTAACTCCTTTGTGGGACTGATACCAACATCATCCTCTGCTGTTAGGCTGCTCAGTGCAGCAACAGCAATTCCTGCATCCTGCTCTCCTCTCCCTTCCTCCCAACTCTCCTGCAAGGGGAAACCAGCCCCAGAGGTCCCTACCTTGCTGGGGAGTTACTGGGTGCCAGTAGAGCACTCTCTGCTTCCACCACGGCTCTGGGTGCATCCAGGAAGCTACGCCCTTGTCTAGAACCAGCTCTCAAATCCCACCCTCCCAAACTGCTCCTGCCTGGCTTACAGGGGCTTGGAAACCTCCCTGGGGGTACTGCAGAAGCACTAGCCAGCCGAAGTGTGCTGCTGGTCCGTGACCCATCAGTGATATTGATGCCTCTGGATTTGGACACCTGTCTGACTGGTCCCACATCCAGGGCAGCCTCATGTTTCCTCCTGCTTCAAAGGTTTGGAAGACCTCAGAAGCTTGGATTTAAGAGGCATTTGCTCAATCTCTCTCATGAGACAAGTCCTAGCAAGGAGACCTGGGATGGGCAGGCTTCACACCTCAACATTCACAATTCCCTTGATTTTTGGTTCCCAGTTTTCATCTCTGACTGTCACTTGCCATTACCACAAGGGAACGCTGCAGGAATAAAGCTTATAGTCCAAACTGGGATTCTTTAAGAAGCTGACTAACCCAGATCTTACTTAAATGCAAACAGACAGCTTCAGGTTACTGCTTAGTTCCCAACGGGTTGCAATTTCCTTTGAGTCTGTGCTTTAGATTAGGCATTAATCAAACCATCATCTACTGGCTTAGAGAGCAGAATTTCCTCTTACCTTGGGATCAGCCTGGAGAGGGGTGTTATACCTGATGAAGGATTTGATGACTCCATTCCTCCCCACAGAGCTGGGTGTCATGAGGAGCTGGTTTTTCTGCACAGTGTGAAGGAACGTTTTGAACGGGCGCACGACCTGAGGGAGGAACACCGAAGTCTGAGCAGGAGTGAGTAACTAAGGGTCTTGGGGAGGTACTCCAGGGTTGCAAGGGCCTTACCTTGCTGGCTGGGAAGACAGGAGATAGGGTCTTCTTCCTGGGAGGAGACAGCCCTCCCTCCTCTGCCTGCTGGTAGTCATAGCGCTCATCCACGGCTCTCTTGTAGCTCGGCTTCCTCCTGCGGGACAGCATAGTCCATCACACCTGGAAAATCCTCCTCATGTCTCAAAGTCATGGGTGGAGAGGGCCATAAACTATCCCAGCTTAAAAGAGATTCCACTGTGGTAAGGCCCTGGCACAGGTTGCCCAGAGAAGCTGTGGCTGCCCCATCCCTGGAAGTGTCCAAGGCCAAGGCTGGGCTAGTGGAAGGTGTCCCTGTCCATGGCAGGGGGTGAGACTGGATGGGCTTTAAGGTCCCTTCTAAGACTGTGCATGCACAGGCAGTTAGCCAGTAAAAAATCCCTAATGCAATAGAAGATGGAAATTAAATCACAGAGAATCACAGAGGCAGGAATAACTTATTTGCAGAAGTTTCATGGTCACGAACACTGAGGCCAGAAAACAACATTCCAGCATTTAACTGACTCTGAACTGGACCAGAGTCATTTGAGGCACTTCCAGCCAGTGACCCTACAGACATACCTGGCACTCTGTGGTGGATCCAGAGTCTCCCCACTCTTATTCAATTTCTTTTCTGAAAGAGAACAGTTACACAGTGAGTTCTAGCAGGCAAAATTCACCTCTGACCTAGGTTTGATAGCAGGGAATGGATGTAGCAGCTCACTGAACAACAAAACCACCTGCTGTGAGCTGGGCGTGGCAGGACCTGGCTCACACAGCCACCATTCACAACTGGAAATTCCAAGGAAAGCAGAGCTGCCCTGCAGCTCACACCAGCACTGCTGTGCTCTGCACAGCTTCAGCAATGGGGCTTAACCAGGCCTCCCACAACCCTCATTACACTCATCTCCGTGTGCTTTCCAGGGTGGAAATAACTCCAGCACAGAGTTCCCTCACTGCTAATCGTCTGAAGTAAATTCTCACTCGTCAAACAATTATTAGTCTTTCAAACTGAGCTCTCAAATTGACCAGCAAAGTTTCCAGCTTCCCAAAGCAGTAACTTCCCTGAGTCCTGCCCCAAACACCTCTGGAATTACCACTGCTGCTTGGCTCCTGTGGCTGCCCGTGTTTGCTGATGGTGCGGGAGCAAAGGGACATCTGTGGGCTTTGGGAATCCTGTGGGAAAAGCAAAGGGGTTTCAGGACAATTCCACATGGAAACAGTTCAGGACAATTCCACCTTCCTGGTTCAGGCTGTGGGGTGATCCTGACAAGGCCATGCTCAGCAGCATTACCAGGGAACACCAAATCACCTCTTGGCAAAGTCCTGGATGCTGTATCATCAGGATAAGCACGGACATTAACAGAGCATCTGTGCTGCCTAAACTCAACAAACCCATCAACTATTAAGGCCAGAAGCCTTCCAAGCTGTAAGTCTGTGCTGCTGGAGCTCTGGGCAGAGCCAGCATGCCAATTTCCCTGAGCAGTGATGAATGTGGAGCCCAGAGATGGCGGGCAAATGGCTCATTTCCATGATTTATCTGCTTGCTGTGGGATACCCATCGCTGCTCTCTGTCTCTGCACTTACACCAGAGCAGGCTCTCTGCTGGGATAATGGGCTGTGGCTTCTGGAATTGCTCTCTGCCAGCAGCATGAGCATTACCTCCCTCAGCCCATGCTGGCCAGCGAGCAACAGGTTGGGAGGAGAAGAAAACAAGATTTGTGGAGATTATACCCTCCCCAATTGCTTCTGTAGGGCCTCATTCCAAGGGCAGGCCCAGGCTACACCCTGTAGCCCAAGAGATCTTAGACACAGACCTAAGGAACCTGGACTGAGAAGAACCTGACAGAGTCAAGGCATGCATTGACATTTACTCTGGACAAGACACCAATATGATCCCGGGGTTTCTTCCTCAGTGAGGATCATGGAGGGAAAGGTTTTAACCTGCGTAATATTCACAAATTTCTGTGGCTGTCTGTACTAAGAAGTGATGAATTATCTGCAGGACTGACCAAAAGGTCAAAAGGAACTTTAAAAATACAGAAATAACACCAGTGTGCAAAACACGGCACCAGCTGAGCCAAACTTCCCTGAACTATAAGGTTTTCTTACCTCTAGAGATTTGGGACTGAATTTTCACACAATGATTTCTAGCAAAAGGTTAAGAAGGAAGAGCCACATTTTTCCTCCCAGATCCACACAGACACAAATGCTTTTAATCCCTGCTCAGATCTTACCTTGGAGGGGGTGCAGGGTCCAGGAGGAGGCCTGGAGGAAAAAGAAAGGTAAAAGATACTGTGTTTAGTAACACTAAGGAAACTTAAAAGCCACTTGGATTTTACACCAAGAGTGGCAGGGGAAAAGTCCTGCAAGCAGGATAGTAAGGAAAAATAAATAACTAAAAGCATTCTCACCTAGCTTTGACAACAGTTTCTTCCTCCTCTGGAATATCTGCAGAACTGGAGGCTGCAGAAAAGGAAAAAAGCACACCTGAGCTGTGAGTTTTGGGTGCAGGCCAAGGACCTGGTGGGATGGGGGTCACTCCAGGCACTGCAGGGGGATTTGTCCTGCCCCAGGGCAGGGTAGGGCACTGGAGCACACCCAGGTGGCACTGCAGGAACGCTGCTGGCAATTCCGGTGCAGGAAAGCAGCGTTTTCAATTATAGATGAGTTCAGAGAAATATTCCATGAGCTGGAACTAAGGGGGCTGGGCTTGGCGTCATCTGCAGGGCTGTGCCTGGACATCAACAGCAGTTAGAGCCAGTGTTATTTACAATGGCAGCACTGCTTCCCAAGCCAGCATTCCAGCTGGCTCTACCACAGCAAGCTCGGAATCTCTGGCACAACCAGAACCTGCCATGAATAATCACAGAATCCCCCCAACCCCAGACTGGTTTGGGTGGGAAGGGACCTTAAGGGTCATCCAGTTCCACCCCTGCCATGGGCAGGGATACCTTCCAGTAGCTCAGCTCGCTCCAAGCCCTGTCCAACCTGGCCTTGGACACTTCCAGGGATGGGGCAGCCACATTTACTCTGGGCAACTTGTGCCAGGGAAGAATTTCCTCCATATATCCCACCTTGATTTCCCCTGTAAGTTTGAATCCATTTCCCCTTGTCCTGTCACTCCAGTTGCTGATGTAGAGCCCCTCTCCAGCTTGTTTGTATAATACAAAGGAGAGATGACATCCATCTGTTTGCTCTCCTATAGTAACTTAAATGCTTCCATCCCATGGCATGGAAGAATATTTAAATCAGCCAGTCCTTTCCCAAACATGCCTCTATCACCAACTGCAAAAACGTGGGAGACTTTTAACCTGAAGTTGTTTCAAATTCCCCTCCTCAAAGAAGCTCTAAAACCAGCAGCCAGATCCTGTGAAGGACCAGGAATCTGTAAGAATTTTGCGTTCCAGGAAACAGGCAGGGCTTTAGGAGAGCCCATCATCCCCTCTACCCAGAGAAACTGTGGCTGCCTCATCCCTGGGATTGTCCAAGGCAAGGCTGGACAGGGCTTGGAGCAACCTGGTCCAGTAGGTGTCCCTGCCCATGGCAGGAGTTGGAACTGGATGGGCTTTAAGGTCCTTCCAACCCAAACCACCCTGGGATTCCAGAGTTAACAGCTTCTCCCAGCTAATAAGCAATGTTAAACTGAAATAGAGAAATTGAGGCTGTTCTCCCAGGAGATTTACAAGGGTGAATTCACAGTTACCTGGGTTTAAGTGCTCACAGGAGGCTCCAGAAAGCCAGGGAGAACTTCCATGAGGGATTGCAGCTTGTCTAGCCCAGGTCGCTCAGCTGCTACCCCCACACAGAATAACTAGCCCTGGCACCTTGGTTTCCTCAGCAGCAGATAAAGACAAATAGCAGGAGAGATGTGAACCTCCTGTGACACTCAAACTCACCCTCCACAGAGCTGGAGGACAGGGATGTCTGCAGAGCTGTCTTCCTCTTGCTTGCTGCCCTGGTGACAGATTTCTGGACCATACTCTCCCTCTTGCTGGCCAGGGAATATTTCTCTGCCAGGGAGGTTCTGTGGCTCAGGGAGGTTTTCCCCATCAGGCTCCGGCGCACGGAGCGGCGGCTCCTCCGGGAGCCCGTTGGAGTTCCTGGGTTGTCCCTCTGGAGCTGGGAGGGCTCCTTAGCCCGGTCATGTTCCTGAGTGGGGCCATCCCCCTCCTCCTGCCCAACCCTTGTGCTCAGGTTGATGGTGACATTGACTGCCCTTACTGGTTGGAGCTCAAACACAGCCTCACTGGCCTCGGGAGTGGAGGGAACCACCAGCGATTCGGGAACGCCGCGTTCCTCAGGAGAGCCATCCCCTGGGCTCGTGGGCAGCAGCTTTGCCGTGCTCCTCTGAAGGGGCACCGCAGTGCCAGCCTGATCAGCTTCCACCCAGGGGTCCTGCCCCACCGTCTGCAGCGCAGGAGGGGTCTCAAAGACCACCTTAGAGCCCCTGGCAGAGGCTGCGGCCTGGGATCTTGTCATGCGCTGAGGGGAAGAGTTTCCTTTGGCCTCGGCTCTGCTGAGCTCCGGGTTTTCTTTGTTCCGGAGTCGTTGAGAACATTGCACAGGAGGCAATGGTTTGAAGCTGCTCTTCCTCCTCCTGGATAACCTGGGCACAAGAACAGTGTATTAGATGGGAATGGGAGTTGGGAACAGCCCAGTGCTCTTACCGTGCACACAATGGGAGGGGAGCCAAAACACCTGAGATGGGCCCAGGATAGCACCGCTGCACAAGGCAGCAGAAATAGGCAGGAATTAACGGATGTAATTACTTCAAAGTGGAAAAGATAACAAGAGATAGAGACTCAGGGACAGAGAACAGAAGCAGATGAGAAATACAGCACTTTTCACGAGAATTAACATTTTCCAGGGCTTTTCAATCCTGAGGCTGCCAGCACCCCAGACACAGGGTCTGACCGGACCTTTAACACCGGAGGAACTCGCGGGCCGAATGAGGGGGGATCCCCTTGGGACAAAGGAAGGGAAGCCCCCGCAGAGCGAAGAAAGTAGGCGGAGCCTCGGGACACGCTCCAGGTAGGGGATGGTCTCCGCGAACCCTTGGCAGGGCATCTATTCAGCCTCCTCTCTTTCCAGGTCTCTCTGGCTGCCTCTGAGCTCCCCCTCACCGCGGCCCACCCCGAGGGGGGCTCCGCGGCCCCGCTCCCACCGCCCCCTCACCGCTTCCTGGCCGTCTCCTGCCTCTCCTCCGGCAGGACCGACGGCCGCTTCCTCCGCTGCCGGTTCTTCTGCGACGGCGTCTTGGGCATCAGCTCGAGCTCCTCTCTGTAGTCGCTGGAAGGGAAGGGGAGAGCGACGCAGGGTGAGCCGGCACCAACCGGGGCCTAGCGGGGAGCTGGGCTCTGCATATATGTGTGTTTGTAGCGGGGGATACGGGAATTGCCCTTACCTAACAAACATCCTGAACGCTTCCTCGCAGATCTCCTCCAGCCATACCAGGTCGGTGCTGTCCACCTGGCGGAGGAAGCCGGCCAGGCGCCGCCCGCACTCAGCGGGCAGCTGCTGCAGGGAGCGCGCCGCCGCCGCCATGGCCGCCATCACCTCAGAGCCAACGGCCGCGCGCGGGCCCCACCGTTTAAACCCGGCGCGCGCCCCGCCGCCCCAGCCAATCACCGCCCGCCGCCCGCCAGGACCGCCCTCCCCATTGGCTGCCAGGCTACTCCAGGGAAGGGCGCAGCGCCGCTCTGCTCGCCCATCTCTATCTCCGTGGAGGACTGGCTTTAGTAGGCGGGGTGCGAAGGGCGGGGATTTAACGGCTCGGGGGGGTGACGGACAGGCGCCGTAACCAATAAGAGCAGTGGCGTTGGGAGGTGCGCGCTGCGATTGGTCTGGCAGGGAGGCCATAAATAGGCGGCGGGAGTGGCCGGCCCTAGTTTGAGGGGGTCGGTGAGGAGACGACGAGTGAGCGGTTCCCAGGCGGCCACCACTGGGCTGGGGGCGAGAGGGGCCTCCTGGGGGTTAAGCCTTGTCTGTGCTCGGCATTTAGCACTGTGCCCTAGCTTGTCTTCATACCTACACTAAATCCAGTGTCTTCCTCCCTTCCTTGGTGGGGTGTCCCAGCTGTCCCCCCGCATCGTTCTCTCTGTGTTGCAGGCAGGGCCATGGCGGAGGGGCCGCAGCAGCTGCTCGAGGTGTGTGGGCAGAGGCTGTCCCGCTTCCTCCACGATGCCCAGCACAAGCGCCTGGCCTGGCTGCGGGAGGTGGAGGAGCAGGGCGTGAGGATGCTGGAGAGGTAGGGGCTGCTCCCGAGGGGAGCCCTGGGAATGAGCTCCTGGCTGGGTGCGGCTGCACACAGGTGTGGGTTTGGGCCTCATCCCTCCTGGTGAGTGACCCTCGTTCTGGGGAGCGGGGTTGGAGGCAATGGGGGAAGCAACCTGTGCTCTGTCTCTTCTGCTCCACAGCAGCTTCAGGGCAGAGCCCGCGCTCATGCCCAAAACGCCATCGCAGAGGAGACGCCCCAGGAAAAGGCAGTCCTCCTGCCTCAGGGAGGAAAACAAGGACCTAAACAGGAGGAGGTAGGTGGGTCAGCTTCTCCTAGCTCTGCCTCACGGTGCTTGAGTGAGACAGAACAGCACCTGTGTTCCGAGAGGTAGTAAATAAAAGGAACACGTTGGGATCCATCACTATATCCTGGTGAGAGTTTGGGATAAAGTTGCCTGGCTTTCCTTCACTGTTTATAATTCAAGAATAATAAACACTCTACTGTCTGCCTGTTTGGCTTTGGGTTTTGTCTCATTGGGTTTGTCTTTTGGCTTGAGGTTGTTACTGGTGCTCACTCCCTAAACCTCTGTGTTGGTGCCTGGAGAACCTGGGAATGGGATGTGCTCCCAGCACTGTGTCCAAGCTGGCAGTTGGGGGGCTCCAAGGTCTTAGTGAAGAGCTGAAGTGGAAATTCCAAGTGGTTTTCTTAGAACTTACCACACCTAAGGGTTTTAAAGGTGATGTGAAAGGGACAGAGGCTACCTATGAATGGGTGCCAAGGCAAGAGGGTACAGGGCAGGGTGTAATTAATTGCATGGGAATGCAGGGTGGCTGTGACAATAGCTTCCTCGGTGCAGCTGCTCCCATCCCAGGGCCAGTAGCTGGGTGGCCAAGGTGGCCTTCCCTCTGTGGGAGCACCCGCTGCCAGCAGGACAGGCACTGCAGCCACGGTGGGATGGGCCAAGCCTGACCTGCTGGTGCATTATGGCACTAAAATCGTGCTAATGGTGCTGAAAAGCCCCCAGGAGGGAGAGCTGGAGCTCAGAGACTGTCAGAAAGCAGACATGGAGGGTGGGGAGAGCAGCAGGAATAGCAGGGGAGCGTGGGAAGCTGGTGTGTGTGAGGGAGGGCAGGAGAAGCAGCGCTGCAGATCGGGGTGGGGAGAGCTCTTAGCCCTGCTGGGAGTGCTCAGGCTGTAACGGGTGCTCCCCCAGAAAAGGCAAGTCCTGCTTGTGCTTTCCCTCGTTTAAACTTAGTTTGGGAAGATCTGCTGATGTGGCAGAGTGGGTGGGTGGCTGGTGGGAGGTGAGACACGGTGTGTCCCTTTGCAGGCACTGTCCTCTGCCCTGTGCTGCTCCTGGAGGAACTTCACCCCTAAATCAAGAGCTGGGTTTAAAGGCAGCTTTCCCACTTCCATTTCTCCAGACTTTACTCTGGATTACCCAGCCTGGGGCTGTGTGACAGCCCCTGTGTCCACATGAGCTAGCCTAGGCTTTGTATCCACGTGCCTCTCTGCAAGGATAGGATGGGCTGTGAGGGCCCAGGGTGGAGGGGAGAAGCCAGCAGCAGCTTCACTTCAAAACTTATCATCTGTTTCTTTCTCTCTAAAACTTAGTTGGGAGTGGGGAGATTCCTTCATCACTCCCTTTAAAATGGTTTTCCTTTAAGGTTGTCTCGAAGGAGAAGCAGCGTCAAGCCGGTGTCTTCCAGGCTGAGTTCCCAACGGCACCTGAGCCAAGAGCAGTCCCGGAGCTCTGGCTGTGGGGCAGAGGAGGTGCCTGTGCCCAGCTGTGCTCCAGGATCCCAGGCTGGTGTCACACCCCAGCTCCTGGAACTGCATGGGAAGCAGCTGGCAGAAGCCTTTATTCCCTTGGGAAAGCAGGATTGCCAGGACTGTGTCCAGGGTGCTTCTGGAGGTGATGCAGTGCCTCTGGCTGTTTTGGGGGAGCACCTGCCAGAGAGGGACGCAGCAGCCGAGCTGCAGGAGGTCTCTGGAGTCACTGGGATAGCAGCTGAACAGCCAGGAAGGGATGGGGAGCAAGAGCCCAGGACAGCAAGCACCTCCACTCCCAAGGCTGCTCAGAATGGAGACCCTGCCGTGCTCCAAGGAGATGGATCTCCCCAAGACCTCGAGAAACTGCTCTTCCAGGACTCTGACAGCAAAAGAGCAACAGAGAAATCCAGGCTGCGCCGCCGGAGCAAGAGCCGCAGGGTTTCCTTGGCGGAAAAATACTCCCTGTCCAGCAGGAGGGAGAGCATGATCCGCAGATCCATCGGCAGGGCCATGGCGAGGAAGGCAGCGGCACGAGAGTCCTCCTCGGCCTCCAGCAGAGTGAGCTGTGAGTCCCTACTCATCCCTGGTGGATCTGGCTCCCTGGAGTCTCCTTGTCCTGGCCCTTGTGGGTTCCTGGGGTGCAGGTGCTGGGGCTGGAGTTAGGCTACACAGGTTGGGAAGGGGCAAAAAACCCCAATCGTGGAAGGGAGAACGTGGTTCGAGCCTTGTGTGCCTTTGGATCAGGAGAGAGTTCCCTGGGGAGGGGCTTTAATTTATGGCTCCTGCTAGCTCTCTGAAAAATCAATAGGGCTGAAAGTCTGCAGCCCTGAAATGAGCGGAGGAGCTGTAATGCTTTTTGGGAGAGGATGGAGACCCAAATTAGCAGCATCCCCAGAGGAACAGGGCTCAGGAACCCAGGCTGTTCCTGGAAGCACTGAACCCCTTGTATCCTCTGTTCCCACTGCTCCTGGCAGGGTTTGGCTGTTTGGACTTTCCAAAAGCGTTGCTGCTGCAGGCAGATGAGCTGTGATGGAGCACAGAGGCCTCTGGAATTCAGCTTTGTCAGCCTTGAGTCACCGCCGTATCCAGGCACTTGTTATAACACTTGGAGCGAAGGGGTGTGATTTGGGGGTGGAATCAGCCTGAAAGCAGCCCAAACCCCCCAGATCCCTGCACTGGAGCGTGTGGGGAGGTAGGAGCTGCAGCCAATGGCCTGGGAATGCTGGCTGCAGGCACTGGAGCTGCTGCCTCAGTGCTGCGCCTTCCCAGCCCACTCCAGTTTGTCAGTGGCACTCGAGGGAGGTGTGGTGCCGGTGTGGAAAGCTGAGCAATCCGTGTTCCTGGGAGGAAGCCTGCACTCTTCTACACACACCCTGGGGGCCACTGAGAGCCTGGGAATAAAATCCCCAACCCCACTTATACTTTTCTCTCCAGGTCAGAGCTCCTTGGAGGTTTTTGTTGAAGAAGACATGACTAGCAGCACAAGGTGAGGCTGCCATGTGAAGCAGGTGGGAAGGGACCCCAGAATTCCCTGCAAGGACACTCTTTGGGTGGCCTTTGTCACAGATTTCTGTGAGGCACTGCTCAGGTGCTGCTGTCTTCTGGGGCTGGCTGATATTTTAGGCTGTGCTGTTCAGGCACAGTGAGGTTAAACCCTGCACTGGGGTGGGCATCCCAGGGTTTGCTGGCACTGTTTGCCCAGGGATTCCTGGAATTCTTGGCTGCCACCAGCCCCTGATGCTGACACTCAATCAGCTCTGCTCTAGCTGGAGAGAGCACAGGTAAAGGCTCAGCCTAAGGCTGGCAGAGCTTCCTCTTTACCTGCTACCCAGGGCTAAAGCTGGTTATGCTCAGTAGCACAGTGGGATGGTCCCTCAGAGGAATTTACATCCCCACCTCTGTGTGTCTGGGCTGGGATAGCCTCTGAATGTGCTTAGGTTTACCTGCTGTTTCCCTTGGGGTCCCACACACACCTGTAACTCGCCTTCAGGGAGCTGAAATAATGAAAATAGCTCTTCCTTTCCAGGCCTGAGCTGGAGGTGAACCCCCCCCGGGAAAAGGTGAGTTGGAAGGAACAACCTACAGACTGTCTGGATACCTTCTTGCACAGTCAGCACCTTTCCTGAGGTTGTCACTGGAGGCAGGGATGTGGCTGGTGTCCCTGAAATGAGCCAGCAGCACAGTCCTTGCTGGGAGGGAAACAGATCCTCTTGGAGCAGTTGGCTTTTCCAGGGCAGGGGGCCCATGGTAGCCTTGTTCCTTGGAGCAGCTGTGCTAAGGGAACGTTTGTCTGCTTTCCCTGCAGGCTCCCAAGGATGTCCTCACTCCAAGCAACAGTCCTCGAACCGCCAGCCCTCCAGCACAGCCCCTGCCCCATCCCCAGCAGCAGACAGGGAATGCTGCAGGTAACTCTGAGCTGCTCTGACTGGGATCAGCAGGTCCCTGGGAAACCTGGGATTTGTGTCAAAACCTCTGACCAGTCAGGGAAGCTTTCCAGGTAAACTTCTGATCTCCTGAAGAGGCAAGGCATTAGTTAGGTGGGCAAGGGCATGGAAATGTGCCTAGGCCTTGAGACAAACACTGTCCTGTCC